TGTGGGAGAAAATTTTAAAACGGGAGGGTGACATACGGGGTAGAAACATATATTCAAGATTTCAGCTTCCAGCTTTCCTGGCTGCTGAGATGAAAGCGGATGACAAAATTCACTCGCTTTTGAGCACACACACAGACAAACTTTTGGCGATATAAGTTTTTGCTGGCTGTAGCAGAGCAAAAACGCATAAAAATAGATGTGTATTTTTGTAAGATTTGTTAATAGTGAATTTTTTTGCAGTTTTTGTTGGAAATTATAGTACCTTAGTTAGAAAACTGTAGTGAAAGGCGACTGAGTGCTACGAAATCGCTAGAGCCACAAACAGTTTTTCTATATTTTTTTTTTCGAAAAATAAGACAGGTCGGAGTGGCAACACTGACCATTGACCAAAAAAGATTATTGTCCATCTGTGAATAATCAGTCTTCAGTCATTTAGAGATGCCTGTTGACACAAAATTACAATTATGTAAATTTAGAAAAATAAAAGAAAATTGGCACTTAGAAAAAAAGTTGTTGTAGATGCAATTGGAGAAGATATCCGTAAGGTTCTGATTGGTGAAGTTTGATTTTCACAATTAGCGAGGAAGGACACAGAATATTTTGCCTGCTCCCTTCCCCACCCAAACCCCGCTCCTGTTTCGATTGCACAGTGGTGCATGTATATGAATAAAAATTTAGCTTACGAGTCGTCTATGATCAACCAGTGAAATGCTTCATCCAAGAGAAATTCCAGGCATTTTGGATGCTCTACTGTTTCCGCACAATCCACCTGCAACAATCCACAAAATGAATGTGCAGGGATTAAAAAAAAAAATCTTAAATTCTGAAAGTTTAATGCATTTTACATGAGTATTCCCACTGTATTTCTAGTCAGTAAACTTTCTCATGGCATTCTGGAATTAGTTACTTTAGGATGATATAATGTTGTTCGGCAGACATCAGGGAATGGTGGAAAGCAATGGAAAGCAATGGTGGCCACAAACTGCAGCTAACGAACGTTTTTCAAGTTCCTTTTTATGATGATATTTAGGGAATAAGATACTTTCAGGATATTTGATCGGCGATCCATCTCGCATTCTTTAACGGCAGAAAGTGCCTGGACGGTTTCAAAGTCAACAGTTTTTCTTTCACCCAGGGGCAATTGGTAGGGCGAAAAAAAAAACTGCAGTGCTTCCTCTTTGCAAAAAGAATAGGTGATAGTTTTAACAAGGGAATGCGGCCAACTGAATGTGAAAAAAATGCTGTATAGTGAAAATAGGATAGCTGAAGCTAATGTTTTTTATCGAAAACAAAGGCTACTCCTTTGGAAACTTGCTATAGATATCGATGCTACAAAACTTGACAGAGGAACAGAGTGAATATCCATGCGTTATTAAGCGACTGATTTTTACCACTTTTTATTACTTCTAAGCCTAGAGAAAGCGGGAACAAGCCGAGT